ATGTTGGGCTGCAAAGCTGAGAAGAGAAAAAGAGATGAGTGTGATCAGACCAGCTCCTTCCTCAGCACCTAGGCTGCTGAACTCTGCACAGGAAAGGCTCATGAAGCTCTGAATGGAGTTAGTTAGCTCTTGTTCAAAATATGAGAATTTCAGCCGTTGCAAATGTGGATGGCTGAGTTGGTTATGAGAAAGGAAAGATTATTTCCATGGCTTTTTAGTCTGAAAGGGATTATTACAACAATGACATAGGTAAAATATCTCATCCACTGATCCCAGCGACTGGCTCAGTAACCTAAGGCTGAACTAGGGCACAGACATTTTACACAGACATCTAACTTTGATTTTAGATGCCAGGCAGCAGAGAATTTACTACATCCTCAGTGGTGATCTCTCCTAGTGCTTAATCATCGTGACTGTAAAAAAAAAAAGTGCATCTTATTTCAAATAGAAACTTTTCTGACTCCAACTTTCATCCACTTGATCTTGTTTAAAAAAACCTGATCCTACAGTTAATCTCCTGAGCCTACCCACTCTGCTTTCTACTGTACATTTCATTTTGAAGTGTCATTTTCAAGTCATCTGACCCTTTCTTTTCTACCCTACTGTATTTCAAATAAATTGAATTTCTTTTGGAATATATAAACTGACACAAAATGATGAAAGGAAAAAAAGAAAAGAAATCTATAAAACTAACAAAAACTAGTATTTATGGAGACTGCGTAATTGTTTAGTTGACAAACTGCCAAGTACAAGCCTGTATCTCTTACAGGGAACGTCCTAAAGGATTAAGTAGCAACCGAAGCACTGTAGTTCCCTAGAAATTTAGTTAGGTTCTTCAAGTCTGTTGTGGGTGAAGCCTATAGAATTTAGTGAGGATTTATAACCTTTCTTGAAACAGTCAATATATTCTATTGATTGTAACTGACAATTATAGGGAAAACTATAGAAATTTATGGACTTCTGCTATAAAAAAAAGGAAAAAAAATCATCTCCTCTCCCCTCTCTCCCTCTTTCTGTCTTTCCTTTTTTAATTTAGATCTGAATGTGCAGGATCCCGTTTATTTATTTAGATTGGTATTTCAATAAGCCTTCTCTAATGCTGGAACAACTTTGAATTTCAAATGCAGGCTGGTAATGAGGTGCACATTTTTAACAGTGAAGGTAATTAATCACTGGAATGGCTTGCCTAGGGACATGGTGGATGCTCTGTCATTTGGAGTCTTTAAAATCATGATTGAACACCTTTGCGAAAGCTAAGCCGTAGCTCAAATGAAAATTATGGACTGGATTCAGGAGTCACCGGTCTGACAGCTGATGAGACTGAGGCTGTGTTTTCATAAGATGGAAACTTCAACAGCAATATTTTGGCTGACAGTATTCCCAGCATCTACCTGGCTGCTTGTTTCCACCTTTACAGTACAGAGCTCTCACCCCCTTATTCAAGTGTGCCAGCATTAGCTGTTTGAAGGGCTGCACAATGAATCACATCAGGGCATAATGAACCAGACCTGGGAACTTACCTGGCTTAAAAACAGCTTTAAATCATGAAAACCAAACCAATATGCATGTGCCCTTGGAAAGGTTAAGCCCACAGCCAAGTCCCTTTGGCCATGAAACCCATGAACTGATGTAGTCAGGAAACACTGAGGGTGTTCCCATGACAGCCCAAGGGACAACTTAAGGAATGTTTCGTGCACCTCTTCGTTATGAAGAACGCTCCACCTCCAAACAACTAATTCCACAAAACCAGTCTGTGCCTTCACTTTCACTCCCCAGTTGCTATGTATGCACATGACACAGGAGCATCAAAACTTGGCAGTCATCTATTCAAATGGAAGTGCTCTTGCACAAAAAGCCAGCTACTGGCCAGAATATCCAGTCTTTATCAAGTCTGGAACCAAAAAGGGTCATGGCCAAACAAGTGGCCATCTGTTGGAAGAGTTATAGCTGCCAAAGGAAGTCAATTAACAGAAGAAACTCCAACTCTATAAAAGGAAGCAAGTTCTGGTTTGCAGTATAATATGTTTCCTGTTATACATGAATAAAAGCAGGCAGTAAGCAATGGATTATCCTGACCCTGCCATTTGAAACAAACTAAGTTCTAGATTATTGGTAAATATACATCAAGTAGTTTCTTTATACATCACTCAGCATCATTTGGCAGAGAGAAGAGTTTATCTATCGTCAATGAGAAATAGGTACCCTACTTGCCTACAATACAGGTTTTCTTTTGGAACATATGTACCAGTGGGTTCAAGCTTCAGAGATTTTAATGTTTGAATTCTGAATTAGAGTTCTTACAGGGGGGGCCTCTGTGCTGGAATAAATCAAGAATGTGAGCAAAGGACCCAAGTCCCTTTGCATCTGTCAGGTTATGGATCAAAGCCTGCGTTTGTCAATCCACAAGCAGCATAAAACTTCATCAATAGCATGCCTGTATCCCCATTTTTGGAGAAATGCCATAAAAAATATCAGTGGTAGAAATGGAAACACAGGGACTTTCTCAAGAACTGAGTTCAGTCCTCAGTCCTTTCTCCCCTTTCACAGAGCTGATTACACTGTATTTCAGAAGTAGTTAGACCTCCTGTCCGCTCCTGCCCCATGGCTGGGAGCAAGATCTGGGAACAACCACTGGCAACTCCAAACCTCTCAGCTCTCATCCCCAGGTTGCTCCTGGCTAGGTTAGACCTGTTTGTTCTCGTGCCAGCATCGTCCTTCCACCAGAGCAGCTCAGCTCCTTCCCTGGATTTGCTTTCCCTTTGAGGTACTTAGAGGGATCAACTCAACCTCTCATCAGTTTTCTGGAAGAAATGAAGAGTGCTAACCCAGCGAGACTGGGAGCCCAGGCAGGCTGCAACTGCTCCCCAAGGAGCAGGCTCCTTGTTATTTTGCTGAAAGCCAACCTGAATCTGTCCTGGATTTCAGAGGTGGGATCCTTACCCAGCCTGCCAAGACTGGCCCCAAGGTGGCACTCTTGGCGCACAGAAGCCACAGGTGCCAGGAGCATCTCCAAAACTGACCCCTTCTACAAGCAGGATCATCCCAGGTGTGGGAAACAGCACAGGGGGAAGAGTGGGGAAAATGCATCTGGTAACATAGCAAGGGACCAGACACCATCATGCTGGAAAACGTAACAGACCAGATTAAAAGCAACAGTCATGAGAAGGGAGACTTTTCCTAGATATGTATCTGCTTATAACAGTGTCCCTTTCAGCTTTTATTGCTCTTACCTTGTTGCCCAGCCTGAGACTGAGAGAGAAGAAACTGGGGAACTGACTGCATATGACCAGGAAGCAATACAAGCTGCTGTAGGGTGTGAAGAGAGCTCATATCCTATGGGAAAAAGAAAAGGAGCAACAAAACTCAGAGATGTCTGCTCTTCACACAGCGTGACCTCTTCTATAAAGCTTCCCTGCTCTTTTATACTGTCCTTGACCCTATTGACACTTTTCATTTAACTGCCAACACACCAGATTTCTGTAAGTCGCACACTGGAGAGCTACAGATCCAGAGGTACTCCAGAATCTGAAGTTTTCAGCTGTATAAGAAGAAACCTGTGCACACACAGACATCCACATGGAGAACTGTGTACTTTTATCTGAAAAAGCTAATTCTTGAAAATTACATTTTTGAGGTACTGGCGACCAAAACCTGTCTGTTAGAGGTAACAGTGAAACCTCTTGGATTTCAGTTTCTTCCAGATAATATATTTTCAAAGAGCGAACTCCCTAAAATTACACAGGAAAGTGCAGCTGACTGTCCCATCTCACAAATACTTAGAGCCTACTTTCCACAGAAGGCTGATTTGCCAGCCAGCTGTATAGGAAAGAAGCAATGCCCAACAGTGCCTGATTCTCTGCACCAACAGCAAACGCGTTGCAACGGACACAGTGACCAGATCCCACAGATTGGTGTGTAGCTGTCAGGAATTCCCCACTCCACATTGAGCAGAGCAGGCAACAGGTAATGAGAGAAGAGGATTATATCCTAGCGTTCTTTCACATTTCTGGGGTCCCAGCCCCAGGTCCTTTGCCGGGATTAGGGCATAAGAGTTTGCATTTGCTTGGGATAGACAGACGGACAGACACACACACACACAAATGCCCCAATGAGACCAACTCTATTTAAAGGTACATTTTTAAAGGAACCCATTACTCAATAAGATGAGGTCTTTGAGCTTCTCAATAAGTGTTTTGAAGCTTTGGGAAAATTGAACAGCCCCTGAATTGTGCAAGGGATCCACACCCCCCCAAAAAAAAAAAAAAAAAAAAAAAAAAAAAAAAAAAAAAAAAAAAAAGAGGGAAGAGATTGCTGAGCAGCTGTGTGGCCTTCTGGCATCTAACTCCCACTAGGAATTTAACAAGAGTTAAACGTTAAACTTAAATTTTTTACCTCAGGGAAAAAAAAAAAATCCCTCAAGGAATTAATTTCTTCTCTGTGGTAAATCAGTTTGAGGCAACATATTCAAGGATGGCTATACTGGTTTGGATCAAGTGTTAAACTAGCCTAGAATCCTATCTCCAACAATAGCATTAACCAAATGTTCATGAAAGAGGAAGACCAGAACAAGCATATCTAACACTTCCCCTTGGTGTTGTCTCAGCCTCCCATTGTTTTCAACTCAAGGAATTCCCTGCGCATGGTTTGGTTTGCCTACTTAGTAAACACTCAAAGGAAATCTCTTCCAAGTTTGTGTCCAGTCTACCTTTGAACCCATGTAAAACTTTCTGCAGAAAAGAAAGGCTGGGGAGGAAATTGACTTTTTCCAACACTTTTCTAACTTAATGTGCATCATACCCTCAAGTCTCCTTTTGCCACTGTCAAAAGGCATACATAATTTGGCAAGTGTCTCAAAAACAGCCTCTTCTCCGAAGGTTCACCAACCAGTGCCATTTCAGTCCTCTGAATCCCTGAAGCAGCAAAGTCACTTACCCCTGTGATTTGGCCTCCGGGCATCATCGATGATCCCTGCACAAGGTGACCTGACCTAGGAGGGATTGTAGATTGCAAGGAGTCACTGAGGTCTTCAGTTTTAATCTGAAAAAGAGCAAAGTAATTGTTGCATTATGGAGCAGAGACAAGGGGAAGCAGGAGGTGTGGGGCGGCTAGGAGTCTGAGAGCCTGGAAGGGGTCGGGAAGAGGCTCCTTTCAGAGAAAAGTTAGAGATCAGGACTCACTGCTTCCATTCCCGGCTTTGCAGAAAGGCATGGTCATTCCCCACTTCTGCTTTTCAGTTTATAACATGGACATAGTTTTCCTGCTCTGCCAAGCCAAGGGAAGACTTGCAGTTTGCTCAATTAAAATGTATTAATTAAAACACTAGGAAGTAAGCAAGTTCCAGTGACTTAGCAAGGTTTAAAGCATGTGAGTGCTTTACTCAGACAAAACATGGAGGCATTTTGTGGAGTTATAAGGAAGATATGAAGCAATTCTCCTCTATAGATTGTGACTTATAACCCGATGGTGGGGTTTCCTGTAGATAGCCTCTCATTTTGCTCTGTAGGTAGCAGAGAACAGTACAAGGGGATGGGAAAGGAAAGGTCATGAAGTAAAAGACCTCAAAAAACAGTGTAATCTTCCAAACTTGAAAATGCAGCACCCCAGGCACTGAATGTATTTGCTCAGCTTCTACAGAAAGCAACAAGAAACTGTACTGGTCTGGCAAGGAAAAATCTGCTTCCTTAGCTAGAATGAGCTGTAGGAAAAGAACTGGAAAACTTCACAGGTGTCAGCCCTTTGTCCAGTGGTCAATTTGACCCATTTTAATGTTGAAGAAAGATTCCTGCCTACAAAAACCCAATGATTTCTGAGATCACATTCTTAAGACAAGAATTTACCCAGGGACCAGCACTGAATCCTTGTTTCTGATTTATTCCATAGTCTCCATGTTAATTTCTAACATCGCTACATCAGAAAAAGAAAAAAAAAAAAAAACAAACCACAAAATAACCCAACCAACTAAACAAACAAAAAACTGTTACATCACTTTATACTAGCTGAAATCCTTTGGTAAGGCTGACTGTGACAGGAGAGAGGGGAACCCGGTTGGGAAGATTTTACAAGTTTTTAGGTTAATTCCTGAAAGCTGTCTGAGGAGTGTCTACGTGCAGATGCCACGCACAGGAGACAGAAAAGTCACATAAAGCTCTTGTAACACATTTTCTCTAAGAAAAGATCCAAGCAAACAATTTCCAAACTTAGACTCAGATTTTTTCTGAGCGTGAGAATGCCTGGAACAAGGCTCACATCATGAGTCCCATTCCTCATCTAAGTCTTTCCAGTGCAAAAAAGGCTGACGTTTCCACAAGTTGGAAAACCCAGGAGGACACCAGAAAAGACAAGTCTTGAAAACCCTGTCCACCGGCTCAGCATTGCAGATTCACCCTTACTACTAGGGCTGAACCTCACCATCTCACATCCAATTACTCCCAAACCAACATCCCCCAGAAGACGAGCAGGGTCACGTTTGGAGGGTTTTGCAGTGCTGATGTGGACTTCAGGTCATACAACCTCCTACCAGCAGAGGGGGACAAGAAATCCAGCTTTTAGAAACAATGGCCCAAGCGAGTATTTTTGGTGGAGGGAGGTTTTATTTCAATGTTACTAAAGCAAACAAACACACAAATCTCCACAGGAGCAGGAGCAAAGGAGAAAATGTGATCGCAAGAGGCTTGCAGCTGCAGTGCAGGGAGCTGGCCCTGTAACATTAACCTCCGCATTTTGGATGGTACTACACAGAGGGAAGAGAATTACAACATCTCCTTTCGTTACAGCTATAGCTCTGGACACTGCCGAAACTAGTTTTGCAATAATACTAGCTCCTTGCAACAAGAGTTATACATGCTATGAATTCCAGTTCTTTCCTACCTTTCAGGTTGGCATGATCATTCCTCTTAGCCTGGTGAAAAAAATCAGATGGAAAGATCTTCTTGATCACTATCAACGCGGATAGTGTCTAAGTTGCTAAATATTAGACAAAACGCTCAGGAGAACACACCGTTACCCCTGAGCCATCCAGTCACTGCAGGCAAATGGTTTTATGCACGTTTTTCTTTCTGAGGGTGCATTAAAAAGAAGTCATCCGAGCCAAAAAGAAAAAATAAATAAATTACCCCGGCTTGCAATTCATGTGTGTCTGCCTCATGCAACGCAGTCGTCCAAGTCTGAACAGTCCCAAAAGAAAAGTTATCTGCGTCTTGGAGAATAAGGCACTTGATCCCAATAGGAGTGGAGTGTTGAAGAAGCACAAGCCATTTCCAAACTGAAATCAATTTTTACAGCTGCCAAGCGGAATGATTTGGAAGCGTTCCAGGGTGAAAGGGGTGTGTAGCTGCATCCCGGCATCGCACAATGTGAGAACGAGAGGTGGGTTTGGCAAAGGACCGGTTCCCGATTTAAAAACAACAACATCTCCCACTGCTCCTTCCCCCATCCCTGGAATTCTCTGGCTCCCTCCTGCGCAGTGGGCGGGAACCTGGGTGTTCTTGACAAATCCTTCTCCCCTGCACCTATTTTCATTGGATTTGGGCTCAAATTTACCTCTCCCTCCTCTTCCTCTCCCCAACAGGCCTGCAGCTGGCTAATTGTTCATTAGCAGGAGTTCAAGGTATATCCAAAACTTCTGGGATGGTTCATGCAAATCCTGCACCTTCATTTTTTCCCTGGCTAAACCGGCAGTATTACCAACTGTACATTAAAAAAACCAAAACCGAAAACCCCAAAAAACCACACACATTGTGGGCGAGGCCACTCAATATCATGAGACTCCCTTAAAATAATGTAAATTTCAAATTAATAAAACAAGGGCAGGAGTTGACTTCTCCTTTCCCAGTGCATCTGACTCACATTTGCAGGCATTTTCTACAAATATGAGGAAAGTTTTCTTTAAGGAACCAAAAAAGCTTGAATTTATCACAGAACTGCCTCATGTAGGTATTTGATGAGAACCCTGCTAAAACATTGCAAGTGAGCAACAGTGATTTAGTTAAAACCAGGACCAGATCCCACTGTGGTTCCTCAGGACCTTGGTTTTACATGACGATCAGGCCAGATGAGGAACAGGGAACAAGAAGTCATTGGGAGATAACCTAAGTTTCTTCCCATTGAATATGATTTGGGGAAATAACACTGTCTAAGGAAAAATGATCTTATAAAGCAGCGGGACCAAGTAATGCACTGCAAATGCATCCCCCTCACCGTCGGCTAGGGAGAGGTGTGGAGCCTGGGTTGACAGCTGTGAATCTCCAGGCACCTTCTTCCCCTTGGGCTCGAGGGGAGTCTCTGGGCAGGGCTGGGAGCAGCTTCCAGCTCCTCCGGAGGAGGTAACGGCAGGTGGCGGCACCGGTACGTAGAGCTACCTGGGGCTTCTCCAAGATAGGAAAGGAATCACACTTGCAAATCTCAAGTGGGTGTTTTCACAGCCTTAAAATAGGGTCAGCTGCCCCCAAGCAATCAGAGTGAAAAACACAGGAAGGGTGACTGGATGGAAAGAGAGTCCTCTCATTAGTTGGCTAGCACGTCTGCTGGGCCTGGCCAAGGATGGATTGTTTCTTACCTATCTCTGGCCTAAAAACAAAAACAAAAAGCAAAACAAACTAAGAAACATATTGAGGGCGATGGAAAATGATCAAAGCTCTTCAGCTTGCTTGCGTAACCGATTTGTGGAAGGTGTTTCATAAACATTTCATAAGAAGGAGAATTATGAAGAAAACATCTCCCAACCTGCCTGCAATTACTGCACAAACTCTTCCTTACCAGTAGGAAGAAGGGGAGAAAAAAAAAAGTACATCTGTTTTGTAACTGATCTGTGAACTTTTGGCAAACATTCATCTCGTGAAAACATCCTGCAGACATACAGCAAAGCTGTAAAAAGCCAGCCTTACATGAGGAGGTTGGAAAGATTCACCCTAGCAGCCTTGATTTCACTGCATGGAAGGCCATACCCTTCCGACAGACCGGCCAACCCACATTTGATTCAATGGACTGACAGTCAAATCGCATCGATTGGGCAGGACTCTGGCTGCAGCCCTCCTCATATAAGCCCAGTTTAGGGTCACTGCTCACTGGTAATCTGAATTGGTCTTCCTCATCTATTAGACACCCAAGCAGGCAGCCTGAATGCAGTCCCAAGCCACCTCCTTTTGATGAGCACTTCTGATGTAATGTTAAGAACCTCTCCGTCATCCCCTTCGCAAAGGTAGGACCCACAGACTGATTCAGCACCCAGAGATGGTTTCCCCAAAGCTAGCTAAGAGATCTCCATACCCTGTCAGAGCGAGGCCGTTAAAGCCATGCCAGCCTTCTCCAGTACCAGTTATCAGGCAGGAACCACGGTCACTATTGTAAGATAGAAGACAATCATATTTGTTGTGTAGTTTCTATTTAGACGGTAACCGCTTTGAAACATATTTATCTGCCTTCGTATCTGGCTTATCTCATAGTCAGCAACTCACAACAGTTTAAGAGTTTGACTTACTCATATCCCTCCCTCGCTCCATAGAGTGGTAAGGCTACTTCACTGGGTAGAAGAGGATCGGGTCCACACAGACTTAAGAGGGTCTGAACCAATTGCCCCTCACTGAAAACGAACAGCATGGTTCTTCCAGGGCTGCATCACTCACAAAGCGCTATTCAATACAACAGGTCTGTCTGAAGCTGCCCCAAAGTGATTTGCCTGAAGTCAAGGGAGGAATTTTTAGGACAGAAACAGGTATCTGGATACAAGGCTATTGCAGTTCACTAAGCCTTCCCACCTTCCAATGGCGTAAGCGTACTTCTCTGTGAATTACCTGCACACGTGGGCACCATAAAATAAAAAACACACTAATAAAAAATTATAGCAATAATCATAATGGGCTTGCAATTACTATTTCCACATGTACCATCCTGCACGTACGGCAAGGCTTAACAGACAACCAGGAAGAAAGCAGAAAACCCTTATGTCAATGCAATGATATTCACCCTATAACATTTGATATCCTTTCACACTGAAGGGTGGGATTTTTCAGAAGCTGTCAGCATGACAAAAGGGAAGTTAA